CGCACTTATGTGAATGAGTTTACGCGCCTCAAGATTTTGGAAATATAATCTTAAAACTTTATTTTAATTTCACGAATGGCTGTACATTTCATAACATTAATTAATTTTATATATATATATATATATATATATATAAAGAATGTATGAACATAAAAAATGTCTTAATATATATATATATATATATACTCATACGTAAAGCAAATGCGTAAATATTCATATTCACGTAGGTATTTACAAAGTTTAACTTAGTCTGATTCAAGGTCGGGTTACCTAGTGAGAATGAAGCTGGTCTGACAGATTGCTTTGCTACTTGTTGATCCATAGCCAGCGCAGTTGTTTTTTTGTTTGGGGGGGGGGGTTACTCATTTAATCGCAAGGAAGTGTATAAAGCCACTAAGAACCAAAAGATTACTGAAAATGAAGGAAACTGCGAAAACGCTAAAAAGAACAATAAAAAAAACAGGATTAAAATGGACAAAGGATGACGGTTGACGTTGCATTGAAATTTCTGAAAATGGTATTTGTTAGGAAAGCAAGAAGCTGGATGATGGTTCCACAAGCGAAACGTGCGAGAGAAGAAACTAATAGAATAGAACCTACGGTTACATCTAGCAATTGCAACAGAAAAACAACGGGACCTAACTGCCACTCTAGTACTAAAAGCTGGAAGAGAGATCCACAAGCGAAAAGTGCAAAAGAAGAAACTATTAGAATAGAAATTACAATTGCATCTAGCAATTTCATCAATAAAATTATGAGACCAAACTACCAATCGAGTACCGTGCTTAAATTCATAAAGTCGATGTACCAAAGAGGAAAAGTTCATCAGAACAATTGCGGTGAAAATATTTATTAAAAAGGCACGAGGACGTTACGTTGCGGCAATGGGAAAGTCACTGAAGTCGATATATCAGGTCATGACCTATAATGTTGCAGATTCATTAGATTTCATCAATAATCTCTAAATACATGGCAGAAGTACCAGACCAGGTGTGGCAACAATATTCAGTTTTACGGGCGAATTGGAAACTTATAAAAATGCAAGACAGATTCGGGTGAGAAAAATCGTCTTGCTCGACCAAATTTCTTAACAGTAAACTGAGCACTTGACTTTATATAACGGATTATCGGAGGAAATGTTAAGCCGAAAAGACACAGTGACTTACTCTCCTAGAGATTAGCATATGATGGAAAGCAAAAAAAAAGGTTCTCTTAGAGGATTAATCTTGGCAGTTTCTTGCCATTAAGACAGAAGTAAATACGTATGCCATCGGTAGAAATATCGAATCTGTCACAAGGAAACGGTTGCAAAATGCCGAACAAGAACGGAACGCACCAGCAGTCGTAATATTCAACTTGGCGTTCGAGCTAACCAGTTACAAGGTCTATGTATATCTGGCCACTCGTATGCGAGGGTACGCGTCTACTAGGCCGGCTAGCCAATCCCTATTGAGACGCTTGCTCAGGTGCATTTAGGTTTATTCAACACCTACAGAGACCAGCTGTGGTTTATACTGTAAATATGCTGAGCAGACCTTCGTTACAGTTTCTGGGAAAGAGTGTGTTGTCTAGCGTCGTCAACAATTTGAAAAAAGCCACCACGCTCAAGCCCCCGGGCACGATGACTTGTGATTTCGTGCTAGCACAGCTGTCGACGGCCTCAAGGGTTCCGTCTACCCAATTTATTTCACAAGGCACTTTCTAAAGGTTCCGCAAGCTAGGATCCACCTCCTCCAGTTCGACAAATCGACGATGGTGAGATTCGATCCCGGGTCTCAGAATGCGAACGTTCTAACCACTCGGCCACGTGCCTATGACAAGATCTAAAATGATATTTAAAAAGCCCAGTTCAGTACAGGATCCATTATTAGCGGCTACAATCTTAACATACGATATACAGATGATACAGGGTGTTAATAGCTGACATGGGAAGGAAAGTACAAGAACTACCACAGAAGGTAGTGAAGGAAAGCGAGAAGAAAGGAATAAACATCGAAAGAATACAGAATGGATGTTTGTTAGCAAAAAGAGCAGACCAACAGGCAAATTGGAGATACCAAAATCAGTATATATATATAATATATGTGGCCATTAGCGGATCTTAAATGCCACTTAAGATTATCGCTCAAACTTTCATAACTGAATCAATAAGTTGTCAGATTCCCATACGTCGAAACCGACGGGAGAGTCCATTATTATTATATATATATATTTAATTAATTCATCGAGTCTGATAGAAACCTCAACAGAATGCAGAAAGCACTGGACGGCCGTTTCGTCCTATATTTGGGACTCATCAGCAGTGCGCATCCACTACCGAGAATTGAAACCCAGACAGTTGGTTTGTCAAGCGAACATCCTACCAACTGTTCCAAATGGGCCTCGGTGACGAAGAGATTCCAACTCCTACTAATTACTATCTGTGTTTATGTGGACCTGGAACCACATCAATTAAGAGGAGGTTATACGCTCCTCAAAACCTCCCGATCAGAGGCCTTGCTGCCGGATGTAGTTTATCGTTGATTTTTTTTTCAAAGGGCAAAAACTGCGACGCTGAAATTCAAAGACGCATTGAGATAGCAAAAGAAACCTTCCAGGTGCTAAACAAAGTATTAAGAAACAGAAATATTTCGTTACAAATTAAAGAGAGCACTGAACTGTCATGTAATATCGGTTCTCCTATACGGCAGTGAATGCTGAACAATCCCTAAGCAAATGAAGTCAGTTCAACAGCAACAGAAATGTCGTTCTACAGAAGGATGCTGAAAATACCATAGACCGAACATGTGAGCAATGGCGAAGTTTTAGAAAAAAATGGAAAGAAAAAGGGCGCTTATACATAGCATCAGGAAGAAATAGATGGAATCTTTAGGGCATATAATGAATAAAGAGGACTTGTAAAGTTTGGTACACACAGGAGAGATTGAAGGCAAGAACTACAGAGGGATACAACGCAAATCTTTCCTGGCGATCTTGAGTAAATGGATGGCGGTACAAGGTTTAAGAGAGGTAACAAAAAGGTAACATTTATTAAGAGCTTCAAAAGACAGGAATGTGTAAAGAGCCATGATTGAAAAACGAATACAACCAACAAACGCTGATATTCACTTTGAAATATTAACTTTCGCCTCTACCCCATTTTGTGGATTTTTAACAGCAAACTAATTATCAGACATTCTTTTTGATTTGACTTTAAATTTATTCGACTGAAATCCGTCTACGCAAAACATATACAAGTATTTGATGAGACTTGTCAATTTTATACTATATTTCTGTTTCAATTCCATCTTCCGAGGTGTTGCCTACGACAGTTATTTCAAAATGCGTTAATAGAAATTGAGAAGTTAGTATTTTAATGCATTATTTTTGGTACAAATTAACTGACAAATTTAAATTTAAGCGAAGCTGCACTTAACGCCAGTCCATATATTAATTCATAATAGGTTGCTTTTACAACATTTTGCACCCATTGAGAATTAAAATCACTATTTAGTAATAATAGTCAACCAGACTAGCCCTACGAAACATTACCATTACCCACATGCAAAGAAGTTTTATGCACTGTTTAAGGCCAAGGACAGACTAATCAGTTATATTCTTTACCGCTTTTATTTTTACGAGTTTCCCGGGTCGTTTGTAACTGTCTATAAGTGCCGCCGGATCTTTTATACTGGTTATGAACAGAGGCCATTTTGGTATTGCGACAAGGTGTCACGGTTAGCAAGCATCTCTCGCCAGATCAATGGCGATTGTTTAGTGAATTCGATCCTCACTATGTGATCCATTAAATTGCCCTGAATAACGGATTTTTTACTTCACAAATTCGCATTTTTTTAAATGTATACATTATAAAACTAGGCACATATGGCTCTCCACAATTTCCTATCCCTTTCGGCCATCAATATTGTTTCTCTATTTGCCAAGTCTCCTTGCCCCTCTTTCACACAAGTACGTCAGATAGGTGGCTCGCCTCATTCCCTGATATCTCTTGCTATTATGTATGCCCTATGAGAGTTAAGTTTCCCAAGCCCTCTTTCCTCATTTTCTGTCTATATTTCTGAGATGAGATATTATGTACATTATTTACATTATTCGGACTATTGTCCTTATCTTTGTCGCCATATTTATTACAACGTTTCGGCCCTTCAGTATCGGTCTATATTTCTGAGATGAGGTATTATGTACATTATTTACATTATTCGGACTATTGTCCTTATCTTTGTCGCCATATTTATTACAATGTTTCGGCCCTTCAGTATCGGACTATTACATTATTTCATTATTTTGTCCTCATCTTTGTCGCCATATTTATTACAACGTTTCGGCCGTTGTACGCTCCGGCATTCTAAAATAAAGGGTTCATTTCGACATTCCAACCAACTGAAGAAGGCCGGAGCGTACAACGGCCGAAACGTTTTAATAAATATGGCGACAAAGATGAGGACAATAGTCCGAATAATGTAAATAATGTACTCTTTCCTCATTATGTGTTCAAGGAATTTCACCTCCCTTTCTAATTCTTGTTATAAGTGACCAATTTTCTTGCCATTTTCTTTAAGACCTCTTTGTTGGTTACACGCTCCGTCCATGAAATTCTCAGTATCCTTCTGTAGAACCAAATTTCTATTGTCTCAAGTATCTTTTTCAGCTGTGAGGAGATCGCCCAGCAGCCACATAAGAGGATGCGTATCCCATAGTTTTCCAGCACTCTTTTCTTTGATTTTAATGAAATCTTTCCGTCTCTTAGTACATTGCTTAGCTTTTGGAAGGCATCTTTCTCTAATCCAGTGCGTATTTTTCATTCAATTATTTTTTTTTAGATAATGATTTAGCGATACAGGTCTTACAAGTCAAACCCGTAGCTGGGTGAGAAGTGGGTTCATGCCTTTTCCAAAAGTATTTGCGCATAAGTGAATATAACGAAACCAACTAAAATTGGAATTCGGTTCTCCTTTTAACAATTCCGAGGCGTTATCCATTACCTAACAAGTACATCAAAGCTTACAGTACGTGGTATTACCAAGCGGTCACCCATCTAGATACTGACCAGGCTCGACGTTGCTTAACTTCGGAGATCGTGCAGAAACCGATGTTACCGTAAACCAATTTGTGTTGCCTTGATGTGACAATACTTATAAATTTTCTTCAACTAGAGTAATTTATTTTTGTTCACAAATCGCGAAGGCTATTAGGGCGATGTGATTAAATATACTTTAATGCTTAAAAAAATTATTCAGTATTATTGCTTAGGTAATAAGCATTAGAACATAGCACAAATATCTATATTGTAGAAAAAGGACAATATACGCATTTTTTACGTATTTATGATTATTTTTAAATTTATTAAAAACAAAATTCTTTTACAGGTAGTTATGGTTAATATTATTACATTAATTACCAATTTTTTAATTAGCAACTATTTGTGCTTAGTTGTTGAGCCGTCTTGCGTATGACGATAAACGTCCTGAGTAAGACAATAAACTACATGCGCCAGCAAGGCCTCTGATCAGGAGGTTTTGAGGAGTGTGGAACCACCCTTAATTACTGGTGTTCCCAGGTCCATCCTGTCAAGTGGTAGCACTTGTTTGGGTCCCAACTATGGATAAATAGTTAACCCCCAAACTGAGGTAAAAAAACACTATGGAATTGTAAAATTAGGTTTTAATACAAGAAATACTTTGCAAAAAATTATTACCAGCAATAAATGTTTGAAGAAAACTTATTACCAGCAATACATTATTACCAGCAATACATTTTTGAAAAAAAATATTACCAGTAATGCATTTTTGGGAAAAAAAATATTGCCAGCAATAAAACTCTTGTTTAAACCAAAACAAACTAAACTAATCCGTTGTTGACATTGATAGCTATCTGCTGATTTGTTAAAATTTTAGAATAATGCAATAATAAAAATGTTAATTTAATCTCTCTGATAAATGTCGAGATCTCTCAATAAAAATTAATAAATAAAAAACATGCTGTTACTTTTACCGCACCCTGTATTTAAAGAACGGTTAGTTAAAAGGATACATTCATAATTACAACTGACTCAATTCATTAGTTAATAGTAAGTAAAAGTAGTTCACTCGAGGGTGGGCAGAAAAGTTTATCGTCTGACTATGAAGGAGTGATGCTAGAGCTGTGAAATCTTGCATGAGTTACTTTCAAAGTTGCTTAACATCGGTAATCGTACGAGAACTGGTATTTCAACGCTATATGGCCGTCAGCCTAGATTGAGAGAAAGCGAGCCACCGTAACAACGCATATGTTTGATAAGGGGTTTGGGGAGCTTATTTTACGATATGACAACACTTTTTTTTTAATTATTTAATGATAAATTTTGTATGGGACTCTTAGTTAGGATCGAACTCACTACCTGCTCCAACCAGCCTTGATAACTACAACGCTACGCCGATTTGTCTTTAGAAAGTGAGCAAGGAGGGTGATGTCATTCACAAATTTAAATAGTCAGTTCGTCAGTTCTTAAGATAACTGTTCCACCTGTAAAAAAAAAGAGGAAAAAAATGGGGGGGGAGATTTTTTTTTTTTTTTTGTAGATTAACAGCTCAGCTCTACTTTTCAAGGACGTTTGAAAGAGGGACCTGAAACTCACAGGCGTCAACTCTGATTGCTGGTGTGTTGGGTTACAAATGGTGATTCTCTCCTTTTCGTTAAGATAGTCACGGAGATCACGTGACGGACGATGAATGACGTGTATATATGATGAATGTGTATATATCTAATTTTGTGTACGACTTAACATTATAAATCTCTCAGAGAACCAAGAATGTTTATTATTCTTTTTCCATTCAGCTATTCCGTCCTGTCCGTGAACTACGGTGTTTTATATCACGGATATGACAACGCCATTAATGAGACTAATGTAATTGGGTAAATAAATATTTCTTTCCCTCGCTCTCGTTACACTGGGAACAACTAGCAAATGATTGCAGGCGACTGGCGCCATGTTGTTCAAGGTGGACTAATAAAGGGCAGGAAAAATGAAACCAACTGTTAGAGACCAGAACGGAGAAATCTTCGAACTTCATTCAACATTTCAGCATAGCCTGCCATACCCGCAGAAGAGAGAGCCATGCAAAGATCGAACATTTTACTGACTCCTCACGGTATTTAAAAAAGAACTAAATTTTGATCAAACAAGGAGGGGCTACCATTATCTTTGGTGTGGTTGATTCATTTTCTACCGTTTCTCAAACACACACACATACACACACCCACACACACGCGCGCGCGCGCGCGCACACACACACACACACACACAGATCCTGCCTTTTATAGCCAGAAAATATTTTTAGATAGTAAGAATAGGTAAAGGCGGATATCATTATGTTTTTCTAAGAGAAATCTTTCTGATTAAACTATAGCTGGTGAGAGAAGAGGTAGAGTCATACTTTTCCCAAGGGTATTTGCACGGGTGAATATAACGAACCCAACGGGATTTGGAACTGGGCTCTAAGGTTAATAAAATCGAGATACGGGTAGCTCAAGAAACAAAACAGGTCGAACATTCGTTTACGGCTAAAAAAATATCCTTCATAATTGCCTAAAGTATGACAAGAGAAACAAAACTTAACGGTGGTGTTACGGGAGTCGACTGTAAACCTCATAGGCTGACCAAGATGCTCTCATAGAATGTGACCAAATGAGGTTTATTTTTCAACGTCGTTCCACTTTCAGTCCGCACACTTCTATCGGTGTTACAGTGCTTGGAACTCATTGGTGAATAATCTTTCATTATGTTGGTCAAAAAAGACATCAATGGTTGATATGATGTCATCATCACTGCGATACTGGATCACAGTCAAGTGTTTTTCATGTCGGGAAGCAGATGATAGTCAGATGGGACCCGATCAGGAGAATAGGGAATACGAGCAGTTCAAAACCCAAACCATGTGAAACTGCATTTGAAACCAAGGACATTTTTTCTGGAGACTTTCATCAGATTTCCTGGGCTTTTGGAACTACTTCAACAAGTTGGCATAGTACTCTCCATTGGTGGTATGGCCCTTTTGAACACAATGACTTTTGCATCCCCCAAAATTGAGGCCATCACTTTCTTTGAAGATGAACCAAACTTGGGCTTCTTTAGAGCAGGTGAAGAGTGGTGTTTCCACTGCATGGGTTGTCTCTTTGTCTCTGGATCAAATTGATGCACACAACGCTCATCCTGGGTTAGGAAACGCTCAAGGAAATCAGCTGGATATATTTGAAACAATGTCAGCTTTTCCCGTAAGTTCATGAGCCCGATGCGCTTTTGGTCAGGTGTCAGAAGACGTTGCACCGACCGAGGAGAAACCTTCGTCATACCAAGTTCATTATGCGAAATATTCTCAACAATCTCACGTGACATGCTAATATAGTATTGGTTATGTAATTTTTAGTCAGTCGCCTGTTATCCATCAGCATGTTTTTCTTTGGTGGTAGCGGTTGCAGGAACTCCAGACTTTGAATCATCTTCAAGACTCAGCCTCCTCCTCGTAAATTCAGCTGCACGCTTTTACACTGCTGATAAAGCTGAAACGTCATCCCTTAATGTAACAACCATGTCTGCATGAACGTCTTTGGGAGCTAAACCCTTTCTCTGCAGGTACTTGATAATATCACGATGACAAATTTTGTCCATTTTTAACAGAAGTCGCTGCTGGTTACTTTTGATGTTATCTTTGTACAGCCAGATGTTAGTTTACCCGAAAAAAAACAATGCAGTTATTAATAAGAACAGAAATTATCGTATAAATTACCATATATAATACGCATTTTTTCTAAAAAATAATAAGCAAAAACATCGATGCGTATTATGCACAGCTACAAAAAATCTTTTAAAAATTGCCGTAAAATAAAATAAGAATTATCATAAAATTACATTAGAATAATATTAATCTATGTTTAAAACCATTTTTTTAAATAAGAGCAGGAAACGCTGGTCGTAATGAAATTAGAGAGGTACAATTTATAGGGTTTGATTACAAAACAAGGGGTGCGTATTATGCGTGAGTAGAAACATTTTCCCACACTTTCAGCACAATTTCAGGTGTGCGTATTATGGATGAAGGCGTATTATACATGGGGAATTAAGGTAATACATGCATGATTTCACAACTCTAGCATCATTCCTTCATAGCCTATAAATATTTTAGCCTACACTTGTCGTAAACTACTAATTTTTACTTTTACTTACCATTAATAAATCGAATCTTAAATGATTTCTCTTTTAGGGTACTAGTTGTAATAATATACGTATAATCTTAACAGTTCTTTAAATATAGAGTTTAGCAAAAGTAACGCCTTTTTATTTTATTACATTTTATTGAACAAAAATACATTACAATCGTTTAAGAAAACTTATAAGCATTGTCATATCAAAACATGATTTTTGTTAAGATTAACAAACTATTTAACATGTTCAAAATTCTTCCAGTCATGTTTAGTACAAAGGTGAATCCTATCGGCAACAATTCTACAGGGTACGATGGATAAATTATCGTCTAAGTTACACAAAAATGAAAATAACTTTTAACAGATATATTTACCAAAATTACACAAACATATTTTGAATTACTAAAGAGTAATTCTATTCAATAAAATCGCCACTGGCTTCAACCACGACCTCCAGACGTCTTCAAAATCTCCTGAAACTTTTCTGGGCGGTCTCTTTGTTCAAGTTGGTGAATGCTGTCATAACCCTTACTTTCAATTCATCTTTGGTGTTACAAAGAACTTTGTTAGTCTCTCGCAAAAAGTAGTAAAAGTTAAATGAACTAATATTTCTTCTGTGGAAATAACATTACTTCTTCTGGCCACCTTCAGATACTTTAACGCCTTAGTTTGCCAATAAATATCGTATTACAGGGGGCGATGGATAAAGTGTCGTCTAAATGACACAGAAATGAAAATAACACTGATTTCTCATTTTAAATGATATATTTACCAAAATTACACAAAAATATCTTGAAATACCAAAGAGTAAATTTATTCAATAAAATCGTCATTAGACTTCCATAAATCTCTCTGTACATTCATATCTGCTCATGGCGTATCAAATGTAAACAAATGACGTCACACATTATGAAATGGAAAA